GTCCGCATGCCTCCCCACCACCCATTTCGGCACACCCCTCACACGTTTCGTGGCCCCATAGGGAGCTCCACCGAAGGCCCCAGTGGCAGGTTCCGCATGCCTCCCCACCACCCATTTCGGCACACCCCTCACACGTTTCGTGGCCCCATAGGGAGCTCCACCGAAGGCCCCAGTGGCAGGGTCCGCATGCCTCCCCCCCACCCATTTCGGCACACCCCTCACACGTTTCGTGGCCCCATAGGGAGCTCCACCGAAGGCCCCAGTGGCTGCGTTCGCATGCCTCCCCACCACCCATTTCGGCACACGCCTCACACGTTTCGTGGCCCCATAGGGAGCTCCACCGAAGGCCCCACACCCCTCACACGTTTCGTGGCTAGGGAGCTCCACCGAAGGCCCCAGTGGCAGGGTCCGCATGCCTCCCCACCACCCATTTCGGCACACCCCTCACACGTTTCGTGGCCCCATAGGGAGCTCCACCGAAGGCCCCAGTGGCAGGGTCCGCATGCCTCCCCACCACCCATTTCGGCACACCCCTCACACGCTTCGTGGCCCCATAGGGAGCTCCACCGAAGGCCCCAGTGGCAGGGTCCGCATGCCTCCCCACCACCCATTTCGGCACACCCCTCACACGTTTCGTGGCCCCATAGGGAGCTCCACCGAAGGCCCCAGTGGCAGGGTCCGCATGCCTCCCCACCACCCATTTCGGCACACCCCTCACACGTTTCGTGGCCCCATAGGGAGCTCCACCGAAGGCCCCAGTGGCCTGGTTCGTATGCCTCCCCAACACCCATTTCGGCACATCCCTCACACGTTTCGTGGCCCCATGGGGATTTCCACTGAATGGCCCCAGTGACTGGGTTCGCATGCGCCCCCACACCCATTTCGGCACACCCCTCACACGTTTCGTGGCACCATAGGGAGCTCCACCGAAGGCCCCAGTGGCTGCGTTCGCATGCCGCCCCCACACCAATTTCGGCATACCCCTCACACGTTTCGTGGCCGCACAGGGAGCTCCACCGAAGGCCCCAGTGGCTGCGTTCGCATGCCGCCACCACACCAACTTCGGTGCACCCCTCACACGTTTCGTGGCCCCATGAGGAGCTCCACCGAAGGCCCCAGTGGCAGGGTTCGCATGCCGCCCCCGCACCCATTTCGGCACACCCCTCAAACGGTTCGTGGCCCCATAGGGAGATCCACCGAAGACGGTACTCACACCAGCATTACTCCCAACTGCATATGGTTGGGTCCTTCGCCAGGCTAATTTTGGGCCGCAGAAGCCCCCCTCCCCACCTTGGGGCGTCGCCACGCCATTCGATGTCATGCTACGCGTTGATTTTCGACACCATGCTATGCCATGTAATGCTATGCCATGCTACGGCATCCGATTCTGCGAATACAAAGGAGATCTACGCCATGATAAGGGATGTGAGGGAGGGGTAGGACGTCAGATCTGACGCGAGACCACCTAGCTTGTCCTCCTCCTCCTCCTCCTCCTCATCCTTCTCCTGCTTCTCCTCCTCCTCCTCCTCCTCTTCAGTGACGACCAAGTCATCAGCAGGAAGATGGAACGGATGAGGATGTGTAGCAGGAGGATTACCTCGGGGGGCCCTGAGGAATGACAAACATCCAATGGCCTCTATCGGCGGCGAGCGAGGGGGGGAAGTGAGAAGGAGACGGGCTTCTCAGAAGGCGGTGGGACTTCTCAGAAGTCCTTGCGGCTTCCGAGAAGTTTTTTGTGTCTTCGGGGAAGGCTTAGAAAACTTCTCAGTAGTGCGGGGGACTTCCGAGCCTTCTGAGAAGGCCCGCCCCTTCTCACTTCCCCCCCTGGCTCGCCGCCTACTCTAGGCCACTCTTGCCACTTCGGCGGCCTCCTCCGGGGATGATGTGGAGGAGGGGGATTTCCTCGGGGGGCCTTGAGGAATAACAGGCATCCATTGGTCTCTTGGCTATTTTTCCCGCTGCGGCGGCCTCGTCCCTTTGCCCGATGCGGGCAGCTAACGCCTCTATTCAAGGTGCTGAGGCTAGGCGCGTCCCCGTGCGAGAGGAGGCAGGGGTCAGTAACGCCTCCGTTTGCAGGGGCCTTTTCTTTCCATGGAACCAGGGCTCCCCCGCGATGGGAAGCTTCCTCCGCGCACGTGTAGCGGCGGCAGTGGCGGCGCTGCTTGGCCGTGGTGGAGCAGTCCGCCTCCATGGCTTTCGACGGCGGGGACAGGTATCGTGCTTTCAGGTCCCCGAGCGCTGTTGTGGAGGTGCAGCTGGGGCGAGGAGATGTTCTGGACGTGTTGTCTGGCATGCCGCCAGTGCGGAAGGAGCGCCCAGGCAGTCGTTCGCCAAAAAGCCTTGGCAGCCGCTGCTGGTCCTGGGGATGAAGAAGCGAAGGGCCGCGGCGCCACAGGCAAAGACAAGACGCATAATGGTGCGTCGTGGGGGGCGCCGCGATAACCTTGCTATAGAAGCGGGGCGTCAGCTGGCCGAGAAGGTAAATATCGCCAAGCAGGCCGAGGGCCCTGCCCAAGGCCCACACGCACTATTTTGGTGTACAGGAGTCCATGTGGAGGGCATCCAGGGCGCAACTGAAATCGGACAGATGCCGCAGGGCTACGCGCGTTGCTGTCGACGCACTACGCGCGGCCCCAGAACTGTGGACCACGGCTCAGGAGCCTTACTCTGAGGCTGCCGTGGGTGCGTCAAGCCGAAGCAGTAGGCTTGAAGCCTGATGCGCCCGACAAGACTAAGCAGTGCTGGCAGCGCAGTGCGTTGCGGCGCTTCGAGGGAAGGTTGACGGATGGTCAACAATCGTCCTTGGTGGCACCGTCGAGAAACTGTCTTGCTACGCCGCCAAAGCCGGCTGCGAAAACGAAAGCCGCGCAGGTTCCAGTGTATCTTTCTGGTGGTGATGCTGGCGGGCGTCCTTAACGGCGGTGCAGGCGGTGGCGACATCGCCATGAACTGCTCCGGCTTCAGCGGTGCCGTCGGGAACTTGGACGGGGACAAGTGGCGGCAGTCGGCCGAGCTCCTCGCAGCGCAGGGACCCACCGTGCCTACGCGAGTTCTGCTGCCGCGGCGGGCAGCCCGCCGCAGGCGCATCCCCGCCGGTTGTTGGGGCAGGCGCCGCAGCCGTGGCTGTCCCGCAATGAGCGGGGATGGGCACTCACCAGTGCCGAGGTCGAGCAGCCCTGTGGAAGTGAGGTCTGGCTGGTCACAGTGCGCGGGTCCGGGCGCACGGGCGCGGGCGGCTTCTCCAGCGGCGTGGGCATCTGCTGCAGGGCGCATGTGCGTGGGCCGACGTGCCACGTGAAGCTCTCCAGTTAACGTGTCTGCCCCAGATGTGTCAACGCGATGCTTCCGGCAGGCGAGTCCGGCGCGTCGGTCGACCTCTTCCAGATCAGGGCTGGACGCGGGGGCAGGATAATTTTGGTGTAGATGGGCGAGTACCGGCGTTGCTTTAAGATGCCCTTGGTCACTGGCGGCGACTGGAATTGCGACC